ATTCGAACCCGCGGCCCTCTGATTGCCAGTCGAGCGTCCTAACTACCTGGCCATGCCGGGCCCTTATACTATAGTATCTTGCGGGACTTTTCTTGTTTCATAAAACCATTTTTAATTCAGTAACTATTGAAACTGATATATTTTGCATATATATATATTACTGTCGTTTTTCTAATGCCTCTTCCGTTACATTTTATCATATATTAGTGTTTTTTATCTTATTATTATATAGTGTTTTGACTTGATTTGTTCGTTGCTTATATTTTTAAAGAAATTTTTCAAAAATGTAAATTTTTCTCATCTTGAATGGCACCTTGTGAGTACGTAAGGTAATAGGCCAAGTCAGAAAGCCCATGAGTTCAAGCGTAGCCGTTCCTCATTTTGAAATATTGACCAGAGGGAAGGTAGTCAGCAAGTAGCACCCACAACCACAAAGGCTTTGACCGAATAAAGGGATTGATTGTTACTTTAATAATGCGGTGGTATCATATGTCTCAAACCTTAGACCTTTTGATCCACAGCCTGATGCATTAAACATAATCAACGCCCGACCTTTGTTCTTAGAATTAGCATTATTTTATGACAAGTTTTTCTATCAGTCTCTCAGTTCCAGTTTGGTTTTGGAAATAATATATAGAATCATTATTATTACTGATAAATCAAATCAAGATGTTTTATTCCTTCCTGCAGATAGCAAGAATATAACTGTTTATAAATCACAACCATGCTTATAGCAAGTTCTATAGTTGAAGAAAAGAAATCACAGAATATCTTGTTCGTGTTATACAGTAGTGACTAACGAGAATTGATCGTCAACCGTACCAGTTGTTTGTGGTTAACGTCAGAGGCTGCAGAGGGACTGTGCGTATCAGCTGAGCTAAGGAAAGCTAGCACAGTTTGAATTATTCAAGTTTCAGAGGCGATGAAACTAAGGAAAGGATATTGGCTTCCAAACGAATGCTTACTATCTTCTTTATACCCTCAAGATCTAAGACTAAGTTGTCAAGGGAGCCGATGAAGTTTCATAATAATCACGAATATGTTATTTCTGAAACCTGGCAAACTTTTATTAAAATGATGCTAAATTACAAACTATTCGGAAGAGAGAGAAAACACACACACACACATGTATGAATCTCCATAAAGATATTTTTATATCAAAAATTACTACAAAATGTATTACTTTCCTTGTCACAGGATAATTACCTAATTAAAAATGTCGAAATTTCGCCTGAAGTAAGAAAATGAAGAAAAGGAATTCAAGGTGAAAAGGTTTTTCCTCTTCAAACAATCAGCAGATTCCCTGAGAATAAGAAACATTAGTCGAGACTTCTACATCATTGAAAAAAGATACAAAACGTAGTTTCCTTGTTTAAGAAAATCGCCAACTTAATATGAGAGACGAAAGAATAAAGAAAAATTAAGTTCTATTTGCTGTAGCATTTTTTTTCCATTGCACAGCACATAAAATAACTGATTATATCAACTGTTCGTTTATCATGCCTACTTAGTTTTTATTATGTAAGATAGCCTCTGTCTGCATAGACTTGCACAAAATGTTTCTGTGGTAGTTGTTTTCGATATCACCATCAAATTACTTTTTTTTTCTCCAATATAATGCTGTGGCTTTAGTCATCTGTTGTGAAGAGTAATTGGAACAAATTTATAAACTAAACTAGTTTGTTGAATAGTGATTCAAATTATGTTTTGGTATGGTAAGCGTAAATGTGTTTAGTGGATAGTAACCAAATGATAAAAAATCAGAGCATAAGTATTTCGGTAAAAAGAGAAACAGTAATATATTGTTTCTATTTTATTTTTGGTTATCTTAATAAAAAGGATAAATACTCTAATGAACGAACATCAATTCACGAGTGGATTCTGCCTTTACGTTGTTATTTTGTTTCTTTTCCTAACGTAAAGACAAATCTCCGTAACTGTAAAATGTAATAAATCAACCATAGAGGGAGATGCAACACTCAGCTGTCGCTGTCTTAAGGAAGGGGACGTTAATCTATAATCTTTTATTAATTGTTATTTAAACTGCAATCTCTGCTCCATACGTAATAGGAATAATAAGAAATTAGTCTTCCAAATATAATTTTAAAAAATCAATGAAATATCTAAAGATTTGTGTTTGAACAATATTTATTAGAATATTTGTCAAACTGTGTTTAATTATTCATAGTTCCAAAGTCAATTAAAATTGCCTTTGACAAGAACGTCAGAGAAGATGTCAATGAAACTTGGTTAAAATTCATATTTAACTGAATAATGTTCATACTTGTGTAAACATATCAAAATATCCGTATGAATAAAGAAAAAGTTGACGTTATTTTATGTTTTGTCTTTAATTTTATCACGAAAAATTCACCGTTTGGCTTTCACCTGAAAGTTTCGATCGAACATATAAAAAAACCGCAAATTTCAATTTTGCCCATAGTTAATAAAATATTTTCACACATGAATAATCGCATCAAAACTGACAAACAGTGATGGTGCTTTCTAATTTGTAAAGAAACATTTAAACAAGGAAATCTAAGTGGTATTTTTCATCGCCCTTCAATATTATCTTGCTTTTGAGTCACATCTAATGAAAATTCACTTCTACTATTGGTGTTCATGGTGCTATTAGTATTTTTCTTAGAACAATGAGGAATAAGAAGGAATGAAAGAAACGAAAATAGCTATTTCAGACATGAAGCCGTTCTCTTTCTCTATGGGAGTGAGATAATAAGATTTTTTATTTAATTGCTTTATAGACGTATATAGTTCTATTGAAACACTCAATGCCCTGAAGGCCTGCGTTGAACGTAATTGATATTTGGTGCAGAACAAATCTAATGTAAGGCTCACTTTACTTTGGGATTTTCTAAGCTTGACCGGTTAGGAATTACGGAGAAATTCTTTCATAGTTTTGTAAGAAGAAAGAGCAAAATCTACCGATCTCAAGGTACATACAGTAAACAAATACAGATTCTTGAAAATATAAGTCTGCAGAAGGCGCACCACGCTTTATACTTTCTTTCCAGTTGATTTCATTTGTTAAGCCGGATGTGTTCCCTCAAGGGATAAGAGCACTCAAAATTTGAGCACGCGAACATATGATACTGCAAAGAAGCACGCGCTACAATTTCTGACAAATGTTGGTAGGACGAGTCAATGTGCCGTTATGAGAAACAGTTGTGTTATAGGTAGGTATTCTCAAAAATGATTTAGAACCATTTCTTATCCACTTTTATTACAGCATAAGATTGCACTGAAAATTACTCGATTATTTTGTCTTTTAATAGTGATTACAAATATTAACATTTTGGCTACGAATATGCTTAAATTTTTTAAATGATGATTATCTGTAAAAATGCTTAAAATTAGTCTACAATTCCGACATATTTTACCTGATAATATTGTTGCATCATCGAGATCACGTGACAATTCTCACGCTCTCTTGTTTCT